GAAGATACTTCTTGAAAGAAAGACCAGCCAGGAAAACCAAAAACAAAAATGGCTGTCTGATTGGCTACTACAAGAACAAGCAAGTTGTTCACCTGGAAGCAATAAAGTCCCTTCAGGACAAACCCCCCTCCAAGACTAAAACTCAAGGGACACACAAGCAGACATGGAAGCTTTCTGGCGACCACGTTGGTCCAATGGGGAGAGGAAGTGGGGGAAAAGCAGCAATGAAGAGGTGGGCTGAGCCGGACCAAGTTACACAGACCCCCCCATCGACCTGGAGGATGGTGAGAGTCGGTTGGCCTGAAGTATGGTGAGACCTGGGGACTCCTGAGCCCACGGACAAGGATATGGCCACAGAGGCCTAGAGCTGAGAGTAAAGTGTCCAGTTGATATGAAGTGAGGGGAGATGCACAAGGGTGCCCAAACTTGCAGGTAGTACCCACTGGACATAGCTTCAATGGTTGGATGTTCAGAATCCAACTAGAGGAAGGAAGAGAAAAAGAGAAAAACAACCTTTTTTTCTTTTTTTTTTTAAAGAAAAGTATAAACAGCTACAATCTGATGAACTTCACTTACATTTTTGGATGTTGTTGTTCGGTGCCATCGAGTCAGTACTGACCCATAGCGACCTTATGCACAGCAGAACGAAACACTGCCCGGTCCTGGGCCAACCTCACTATTGCTGCCATGCTTAAGTCCATCGATACTGCCACTTGGCCAATCCGTCTCGTTGGGAGTCTTCCTCTTTTTCTTTGACCCTCCACCTTACCAAATATGATATCCTTCTCCAGCGATGGGTCCCTCCTGACAATATGCCCCAAGTATGAGAGACGAAATTTGGCCATCTTGGCCTCCAAGGAACACTCTGGCTGCACTTCTGCCAAAACGGATCTATGGGTTCTTTTGGTAGCCCATTGCACTTTCAATATTCCCATCCAACACCGTAACTCAAATGTATCAATTCTTCTATGATCTTCCTTATTCACTGTCCAGCTTTTGCATGCATATGAGGTTACTGAAAATACCATGGCTTGGGTCAGGTGCACCTTAGTCTTCAAGCTGATATCTTTGCTCTTCAACACTTTAAAAAGGTCTTATGCAGCAGATTTGCCTAACGCAATACGTCGTTTGATATCTTGACTGCTGCTTCCTTGAGTGTTGATAGTTGATCCAAGAAGAATGAAGTCCTTGACAACTTCAATCTTTTCTCCGTTGATAAGAATGTTGTTTATTGGTCCAGTGGTGAGGATTTCTGTTTTCTTGACATTGAGATGTAATCCATACCAAAGGCTGTGCTCTTTGATCTTCACCAAATACTATGGATGTAGTAGCTTAAAATACCAACCAAGAGGGAAAGAATCCTTACAGCAAGGATCATTCCCATCTACTCCATATACAGGGTTGAATGGGACAGGCAACTTAGACATTGGCTACCTAAAAAGGAGGGCTGTAAAGGCACGAAGTGACTGGCTTACAAGTTTTCAAGAAGGAGTTTAGATTTAGAGTTGAGGGGGGGAGGAGTATAATCCCCATTGAGTTGTTTTCATCCTGTCTAGACAGGTCTGGTGAAAGGAGATGGGGACAAGAGTCTCACGATTCAATAGTAATTGTTATCATGACTACTTGCGATTGTTGCAATTGTAAAGATAGAAGTTTTGTAGCAAAAAGGGGTAAGTGGTTGATCTTACAGTCCCAGAGAGGAGGGCTCTGAGACCATCAAGGGAGAAGAGTGGAAGCAGACTCTACCCAGAGACGCGGTGATGCCAGAGATGGAGTCAGAGATGATGACATGGAGACACGGAGCAGCTGAGGATTCTAGACTCATGGAGGGAGAGGGGATGTGTGCTGGGAGACAGGGGGCAGGCTTGCAGGGTGTGCCCTTTGGATGTTTGAATGATGTATATTCCTGAGCATTTTGGTGTATATAAAAAAACAAACAGAGGGAACAGAAGCAAATACCATTGAATGATAAACCTTGCTGAGGATTGTAATCATTGCAATGAAATGAATATGATAGGATGAGTGTAAAACTGATGTTCCCCCATGTAAACTACCACTCAATTCACAATAAAAACTTAAAAAAAGAAGAACTAAAGTACATACAAGAATCTTTACAGGAGGAAAAAGCCACATCTTTCTCCTGCAAAGCAGCTGGTGGGTATAACCACGACGTCACAGTATGCAGTCTACTCCTCAGAAACTGTACTCTACCGGGACTCTGTGAGCCAGAACTGACTCAATGACACTTAACAACAACACACGAGAAAAGGAGGAGAAGCCCTGGATTACTAACCACAAGGTCAGCTGCTCCCTGGAGATCGTAGACATGGTGGCTCTGAGTGGAACCCAGTTCTACACCACTGCACAGCACTGTAGACACGAGTCCCTGCCCTGCCTGAATGTTTCCAGAGTAAAACACAAAGGCACCCAGGCACCACTAGAGGGTACCACCCAAGCCATGCAGGCAGGCTTTGATTACTGAGTCAGTGAAGAGGCCAGGCCTGGAGTTAGGAGTGTTAATGGGTCAATGAGCTGATTGGTTACTTACTGCCGCTCATGCACAGTGCTGCCATCCGCATCATCACTTGCCAACTGACAAACCAATAATTAGAGCAATTATGGCCACCAGAACCACTGATACAGCAACAATTATCCACTTTTTCTGTCAAAGAAAAACCAAGCAGATGATGACATGTTAGCGCCTTTTTCCCCTTCAAAGCCATTATTCATTTACAATCAAGTGTGTTTTAAAGTCTACATCACAGGGCTTCTGCTTTACCCTGGGGGACATTATTGACTCTCAAAAAAAAGTTTTAAAAGGTCTTTAAGGTCAGACTATCGCTATAGGATAAGCACTGGAATGCTAACCACAAGGTTGGCAGTTCAAACCCACTAGTCACTCGGCAGAAGAAAGATAAGGCTTTCTGTTCCCGCAAAGATTTCCAGCCTGGGAAACCCTGTGAGTGACTCTGAGTCACACTGGGCAGTGCAGTGGCAGTGGGTTTGGTATCTGAAGATCCTTGCTGTTAACAGAACTGGCACAGTAGACGGCTTTAACAAGCAGGCATTTGCTCACAGCTTAGGAGGTTAGAAGTCAACTCAGAGCTTTGACTCCATGGAAGACTTTGTCTCGGTTAGCTCTACTGACAGCTCCTTATCTCTGCGGCTCTGTTTCCTGGCTCCCTGGAAACCTCCATGTGTCTTGGCATCTATGCCCACCCCCATCTCTCCGGGCCTAATCTGAGCTTTTTATCTCTTGTAAGAGATAAAAACACTCAAAACACACCCTACACTAACCCTGCCCCAGTAACCTAACAGAAAACTCACTCCCAAATGAAATTATAACCAGAGATGTTAGGGTTCACCACACATCTTGGGGGACACAATTCAATCCATAACATAGAACGCTAGCAAGTTAGGTTTCATCAAAAGGAGAGGAAGGCAGAGTCCTATTATTTGGAAAAGTTCTGATAGAAAAACAGGAGTATTAACATGTTTTCTTCATATATGTACAACTAAGTAGCCAGCTTTGTAAACTATGAAAGCAGCTATCTGTGTAGTGTGCCCTGGCCTCCTGTGTGCCCAGCCTTCAGTTGTTCCATCATCAGACTGAAGAAGTTTCTCCACACACACCCTCTGAGACTCCATCTGCCTGAGGGAATAAAAGCAAGACAGCCAACAGCTAGAACAGGAACAGCAACGAAGCATCTAAGCATCTAATCAGGAAGTTAGGAACTACCGACATCAAAATTAGCATCGTATTTTATGACCACCTTCTACGGAGGCTTGTATGGGCCCCCGCAACCTACTCAGCAGAATACAAATGGAAACTATCATAGTCACCATCTTTGATCTTTATAAAACCAGTGAACTTTGCACTGGGTCCACACTCTGTTTAGGCCATGGACATGGGGAGGGGAAGCACTTTTTAAAGAGGGTCTGCTCCATGCCTGAAATGAAACCAAGCACTTCAAGTGTGCTGCACCACCTCAGCTGACTTCATGGTATTCACATCACCCCGGATGACTTCAGCGTGCAGGCGTCACCTCAGCTTACTGT